CAGTGAGGACATGGTTCTCTCAGCTCTCTTACATGGCCTGCATATTACAGGCAGCTTAAAAGTGGCAACCTCGGGCCAGACCAAGAAAGGGACTGTATTATAAAGGGGCTGTATTAGTCCGTTTTCATGCTGCTGATAAAGACATACCCAAGGCCAGGCACAGTGGCTCACACCTGTCATCCCAGCACTTTGGGAGGCTGAGGCAGGCGGATCACCTGAGGTCAGGAGTTTGAGACCAGCCTGACCAACATGGAGAAACCCTGTCTCTACTAAAAAGTGCAAAATTAGTTGGGTGTGGTGGCGCATGCCTGTAATCCTAGCTACTTGGGAGGCGGAGGCAGGAGAATAGCTTGAACCCAGGAGGCAGAGGTTGCGGTGAGCCAAGATCATGCCATTGCACTCCAGCCTGGGCAACAAGAGTGAAACTCTGTCTCAACAACAACAACAACAACAATAAAAACAAACAAACAAACAAACAAAAAGACATACCCATGGCTGTGCAACTTACAAAAGAAAGAGGTTTCATTAGGCTTACAGTTCCACATGGCTGGGGAAGCCTCCCAATCATGGTGGAAGGCAAGGAAGAGCAAGTCATGTCTTACGTGGATGGCAGCAGGCAAAGAGAGAGAGCTTGTGCAGGGGAGCTTCTCTTTTTCCATCAGATTTCATGAGATTTATTCACTATTGTGAGAATAGCATGGAAAAGACTTGCTCCCATGATTCAATTACCTCCCACCAGGTCCCTCCTACAACACGTGGGAATTCAAGATGAGATGTGGGTGGGGACACAGCCAAACCATGTCAGGGGCAAACTGCCTGAGAGGAATCACTAGGGTACAACCATGGCATGTTGGAACCTGCTGAGCAACTTTAGCCACACAGGTGAATCACAGATCAGGCATGCCTTCATGCACAAGGTGCCAATAGTCAGCTTAAAGTGAGATTACTTTGGGCTGTTCTCAAAGCAATTCAGTTTCATGAAACCCCATATTGATTATTTATGCAGTGCTGAGTATTGTAACTGAGGTCTATCCCAGCTCATGGAGCAAAATCAATTAATTTTCCCCCACTACCTGGTGTCTTGTCTATTTCCAATTTGTCTCATCAGAGATGTGTTCTGTTCTAACTATGCGTCTGGCTCTGTGGACAGAAACTGACTAAAAGTGTCTATTCTCTACAGGTGCACAGTCCAGCGGGGAGAGACAAAGAACAATAGTACAGTGAGGGGGATGCTGTACTGGGGAGGGCACAGGTATCTGAGAAGCCCAACAAAGGAGACACTTACTCTCCCCTTCATGGTATTAATAATCTACATTGATAATCCTGCAGGGGAGTTAGGGAAGGGGTTGAAGGAGGAGCAGCTATTGACTGGACAAAAGAGGCTGAGAAAGTACATCAGGGAGTGCAGACCCTTTGGGAAGTGGCAGCAGCTCACTGTGGCACCAGGGAGAGGAGGGCGATGAGGCTGTAAGTTAGGTGGGCTAGGCCAGCTACAAATGGCTGAGGGAGCTGTGCTCTGGAGTTGGACACTGTTCTGGAGATGGAGGGCAGCCACTAAAGACAGGGCAACTCTTGGCAGTGGTAACAGCGGCTGGAGGAGGGGGCAGGAAAAGCTTTCAAGCACTGTGGGTAGTGTTTGCTCAAGAGATGATGAAGGCATGAAATGGGGGCGGTAAGAATAAGGAGGCAGGAAAGGGAGAAATTGAGAAATAGTGGAAGGTAAAATCATTAGGACATGTGGCATGAAAGAGTAGGAGGAACCAAAGGTGACTTTCAGGGCACAGGTATCTGAGAGATGAAGAGGAAAAGGAAATCCAAAAACTAGCACCAGGTAAGCCAAGAAAAGGAAAGGTCCTACAGAGGGAGTGGCCCTCAGTGTCACACACAGCACAGAGGAACATTTCCAGATAATGGAGCTCAGAGGACTGAGGATGAATGGGAAGCAATGGGGTAGAGACAGTGGATGTCCACAACTACATTAAAATGTCTGACTGAAAAGGGAGGGAGAGAGATAGTGATGAAGTTAGGAGGGACATGAAGTCAAGAAAAGAGTCTTTTGTTCTTTTAAAACAGGAGACTTTGTGTATAGTGTGTGTGTGTAAAATGGAGGAAGTTTCCAGAAGAGAGAAAAGAACAGCTCAAAAATGCAAGAGATAAATATTAGCGAGGTGTAGCTCAAGGGTCAGGGCAGCAGTGACGAGCCCAGGAGGGAAAGTTCTCAACTGTTCTCAGGAGAGTCCAAAGTGTGGCAAGTCCCTGGGAAGCGCACTCTGACAAGCGTAAGGTGCCAACTCAGCGCCATGGGCTGTGCGAGACACTGAGAATGTAGCAAAGAGTGAACACATTTGGCCTTACCTTTTAAGTTGGGTCAGTGCTCTGACCCTACCTCCCACCTTGCCTCCACTCCTCCCTGTCTGCCTTTCTCTAGTGCTATCTCTGAAGTCAACCCACCACATAGAGCAACCGAAGCCGCAGATAGGATATCCCTGAAAAAAAGGACAATTAATGTAACCACTCACCCTGCCATCAGGAGCGACGCTGTTAGGGATGATACAGAGCTGCTCCGCAGAGGAACTGCGTTTGTGATAGGCAAGTAAAGGATACTGGTGTCTCCTGGGAAACATGCTGTGTTCTCAATATGGGCTATGCATCTTGGTTATCGGAAATATATGTATTCTCATTGTCACAGACTTAAGTTTTTAATACCAATGATTTAAGGAGCCAGGCTTCAGTATGGAAAGGTCTGAAGAAACGTTTCTTAAAGTAAATCCAAACTCTTCAGTAGGACAAGGCCTGATTAAGAGTAGAATGGGTGCTAACTATTCAAAGAGCTGTAGGTTTTAAGCACCTTTTGAAATCTCACTCTGCTGAGATCATTTAGTTCAAGTCAGTGCTACAATTGTTTGTGACTATCACCAATAAAGCCAGTGGTCACATAAGAACTGGTTAAACTGCAAGACTGTAGCAGTGGCAGGAATTGATGTCATTTAGATATAGTGTTATTTATTTATTTATTTTTTCGGGTGCTGGGCTGTAGCAGACACATCAGGAGGTAGGAAAGATAGAACAGAGGATATGCCAGCAATTGAACATGCTCATGACCCTCCTCAGTGACGCTCTCAAATTGGTAAGGATTCTGTAGACCCTGCCAGGATCACAGAAAAGCCCAGCCCTTTGTAAGATGCAGTGGGGGAGGGGTGCTTTTCTCCTTCCAGCAAAAGGAAGCAACTCCTACTTCCCTCAACCACCTTTCTCACGGTGGGCAATCCAAATTACTGAGTAGGGAGCCACGGCCTGACAGACCTGCTCTAAATACTCAATAAGTCAGGGACAGAAGGGGCCAATGTCAGAACTAGGAGGGCCCATTTCTCCCCCACAAAGCCAGGAGTTGTCTCCCTTTTGCCTCCCTGTTCAGGGAATGAATGTTTATGATGGCTGCGAGGGACAACGTGTCAAAAATATTAAATGCAGTTTTCTAGTCATAACTTGTTCTTCCCTAATATATAAGCTTTTCTTCAAAGGACACAATATTTTGAACAATGTATTCCAGAAAACAGCCACCACTACCGAAGTGGCTGAGTTAGAAAGCTTACTTCTTCTTCATAATGTTATGTTTCCCATATGATGGCTGGATACTCACCGTTGGAGCAGTTTTTTGTTTGTTTTTTTAGATAAAAATCCTAGAGTCAGCCGGACGCGGTGGCTCATGCCTGTAATCCCAGCACTTTGGGAGGCTGAGGCGGGTGGATCACTTGATTGAGGTCAGGAGTTTGAGACCAGCCTGGCCAACATGGTGAAACCCTGTCTCTACCAAAAACATAAAAAATTACCCGGGTGTAGTGGCACACGCCTGTAATCTCAGCTGCTCACAACCCTGAGGCAGGAGAATCCCTTGAACCTGGGAGACGGAGGTTGCAGTGAGCCTAGACTGTGCCGCTGCACTCCAGCCTGGGTGACAGAGCAAGAGACTCCATCTCAAAAAAAAAAAAAAAAAAAAATTCTAGAGTCACAGACCACACCAAATAGATATTACCATTTGCTAAAAATGGTCTGACTCCTTAAAAAAGCATTTTTAAGCTATACAATTGTTTGTCTGCTGCTATCTTTCCATTTTAATTCACTCTAATATTAGAATTTGCCCCCAAGGCCCAACTTGAGAGACTGCAAAATTAACAGGTCACCGAGCTCCCTCCTAGGCTGAAATGGTCAGCATGCCCCATGACCTGTGAGGGTGAGAGTTCAGACACCGACCCCTTCCCCCCGCACTCTGGTTTTCTTTCTTTGAAGACCTGACTAGGGGAATATTGAAATGAGAGTGGATTGAAATAGGAGAAATATTTTCAGGTTTGCAATACGATTTAGCCAAATCATTGCTTTAATTTTCACAGTTAATCCCAGGAATTCCCAGTCTTCAGAAAAGACTACAATATTTCAAAGCAATTTAGTTCAGTCCAAGCAGAATCTGCAATTTCTGCATTTACACTCTGTCCACTGGAATTGGGTCTTCAGATGACCTGGAGATAAGTTTTTGACACAAAACCTACTGAAATGCTTCCATTGATTAACTCATTTTTTCAGCAAGGATTTTCTAAGCAACTACTACATAAAGCTACAGTGCTTGGCAAGGAAAGAAGTGGGGTGTCAAGCACAAGTGGTGTTCTGTGGTCTGATATGGGCACCTCTGGAAAGGCACACATTGGAGCGCTACGGGTAGCGATGGCATCCAGCAGCGTGGGTTCCCACAGCGCCAAAAAGCGCGCCAGTAAAACTTTCCGTAATTCCCTCTGTGCCAAGTGCATCCTGGGCAGTCGCATTTCGGAGGGGCAGAACTCACCCTAACTTTTGAGTGCAGAGTCAAACTTAGGGACTAGGTTAGAGTGAAGGGAAAGGGGAGCCCGGGCTGAGGAGGGAAAAGGCAGCGCATATCCCGGGGTCAGGGACAAGACCAGAGGACAAGGAAGGGCCCGACCCCAGCACCCAGCATCAGGAATAGTGCTCACCTGCGTTTCGGAGCTTGCGGTTCCTGAGCACGGAGAGGATCACCAGGAGGTTGCCCACAACGTCCACGGCGGTGGTGACGATGAGCACCACGGATAGCGCGGGAGCCACCCAAGGAGGTCGAGGGGTCCTGGAGGGTTGCGCCCTGCCAGTACCCAACCAGCCCGGGCGCACTGCCCACCCGCCGGCCTCGCAGCAATTGGCGAAGGAGCCGTTCTCTGACATCGCAGACTCTCCCGCGCTGCGCTTTGGCCACCGCGCGGCCTCGGACAGCCGCAGGGCTCGCGCAGTACTGAGCCGGGCGCTCCCTTCCCTGCCCAGCTCCCGTGTGCAAGGGAGGAGGCCAGTGGGGAGGGGTCTGGAGGAGATAACTAATTAAGCGTGGGCAGGGGATGGAGAAAAATATAGGAATGGGAGGAGGACTTGGGGTGCAACCGTTGCAGAAAGGAGTGCGTCCCTCAGCGGTGCGCTCAGGAACAGCTGGGACCACACAGCTGTCTCTGCCACCCCGCCCCCAGCACGTGCCTAGCTCATCTCAGGCCGCGGAGCGCGTCCAGCCTCTGTCCCTCGGTACACAACTACACCCGAGACCCCGATTTCCTTCACAGCGTCCCCAAGAGAAGCTGTGTCCAGCTAGGGACATCCAACCCAGGTTTATAGACTGGAGAAGGTGCTGACGGTCGGGACCTCCCATCGGTTGTCAAGCAAGGCAAGGTTTGAGGTCCCACAGGGCTGTGCAGCTCGAAAGAGAATGCAGCTCCTAAGATGTGGGGACAGAGCCCAGAACAAAGTAGTGTAGACTTGTATTCTAGGGAGCTGCAGAAAAATACGAACCTAGCCATTTTCCGAGCACTCGCCGGGTATTGCGGGGGACATTCGTGATGTCTCTACTTGGTCCTCTTTATAAAGCCAATATTTTAGTATATTTACCAATATATATTTACGCATAATACTTAAATAGATGTATGGCCAATAGTGGGGGTTGTGATGTGGTTTTTGGAGGGGTTAGGACAAGAAAAAGAATGAGGCATGATTACAATAAAGAAGGGACTCGGGTGCCCTTTATTAAAAGTGTTTGAGTCGTGATCTGGTGATAATAATAATAGATAACTTCTCTTGGGGGATAATCTTATGCCAAGTTTGTCCTAAGCACTTTTCACACCCACTAGAATCACTAAAATCAAAATGACTGATTATCCTAAATTTGTGGAGGAAGTTAAGCAACCAGAACTCTCATACAGTGCTTTTATGAGAATGCAAAATGGTACAGCCACTTTGAAGAGCTGTCTGTTAGCTCCTAATAAAGTTAAACATACACCTATTCTATGACCAGAAGTTCCAAATGAAAAGGAAATATATTTCCACAAAAAGACGTGTACAAGAATGTCCAGAGCAGCCTTGTTTATAGGAGCTCAAATCTGGAAACACCCGCAATTTCCATCAACGGAAGAATGGATAAACAAATTGTGGTATGACCTTGAGATGGAATACCACTCAGCTATAAAGATGATTGACCTACACAACAGCATGAACTGATCACAAATATGTTGTATTGAACAAAAGAAGCCAGATACCAAAAAATATATACTATATTATTCCAAGTATATGAAGTCCAAAATCAGGAAAAATTAATATGTTTTCTAATACAAATCAGAAAAGTGGTTACATTTGAGGGTGGGTATTGAGAAACGAACACCAAATAATTTCTGGATTGTTATTTTTACATGTGTTATTTTACATAAATTATATTGCCCCTCTCCCTTAAAGGGGGGAAAAAAAGAAGGAAGGATGCAGTGCAGAGGGAGGGGCTGATGAGGCAGAGGTGTGAGTGGATGATGAAGGGAAGAGAGAGGGAAGGGAGAGGTGAAGTGAGCTCATCCTTGAAGTGAGCTCATCCAAAACCTAAGGAAGGAATATTATTTGTTAGGAGAGGGAGGCTTGCTTTCTCGTAGTAGAAAGGAATCAGAAGCCAGATGCAAATTCAGATGCGCTTCTAAACTGGTGTGAGGAAATAAGAGAGCTCCTGTCTGGCTTCTGTATTCTCAGGGAGTTAGAGGCTACTCATTAGCCAGGATTCAGGGGAACAATGTGGGAGGTTTGAAGACAAAAAAGGTATGAAGGAGCATTTCAGAAACTGGGAACATTAACTAGTAAAGTGTAACAGGTGTGTCAGGAGCATGAATGTCCCCCTGCAGCTTGAGATGATGGTTTCAAATGATGCCACTCAGCCTGGCCGGTGGTTGTTATCAGCAACTTGGAGCTGCTCAGCAAAGGCATGGAGAAGGCAGAGTGAATGAATTTCAGTTAGGATTGGGGTCTGCTGGGTAGGAGCAAATAACAGAAGAAAGTTCAGGGGCCTGGTGAGAAGATGGATCCTGGGGTTTAAGTTAATGAGGGGTGATGAGAAAACAGAGGGGCTGATGGGCTGTGAGACAATGGCAGAGTCAAGAGATTGGAGGCCCTGTGACGTCAAAGATGTGCGGTGAGTGAATTAGGAAATGTAAGTTGTGGTGCTGAAAGGGTGAGTTGTTTGAAACTGAGATGTCTAAGGGGTATAGATTCTGTTGCTGTGAAGGCTCTGAGGGTGATTATGGGGAATGGGTTGCTGGTGGAAGGTGAGATAAATGTTGTTAGAGATGAGAAGGTCAAGGAACTGAGAAGTCAGGGATGGATATTAGGAAGTCGGGGGTGAGAAAAGGAAAACTATGAGTCAGGAGGCGAATCCCCAGTGAATGAGAAGGAATGACCAACAGGTCTGCAGGAGAGCAACAGGAAAGGGGAAAGAGACGCCAATGGGCAGTGTGAAAGCCAAGGGGCTTTTTCAGGAAGAAGAGACAGCCACGCCTTCCCTGTCTTACAGGTGGAAACACTTCGTGGCACTTCTCAGCTTTCACAGGACAACATAGCAATAGATGAGCTGGACACATAAGTTGCCTCCATCCAGACACACCCTCTAATAACACACTTTTGGTTAACTGAGCATGAAACATAGGAATTTGCCCTATGCTGCCTTGGAATGTGATTGTCCATAATAGCATATCTCAAGATAGGCACAAAGAATTGGGATGTTAACCTGCCTAAGAAGTCAATTCTACATCCTGGCATGGCTGGCCAGGCTGTGGCTTAAAAGGGTGGAGGAATGGTACAGCCACTTTGGAAGACAGTTTGGTGATGCTTTACAAAACAACACATACCCTTACCATAGCATAGAGCAATTGTGTTCCTTAGTACTTACTCAAGTGAGTTGAAAAATCAATGTCCATAGAAAGACCTGCGCACCGATGTTTATAGCAATTTTACTCATAATTCCCAAACTTGGAAGCAACCAAGATGTCCTTCAATAGGTAAATAAATAAACTAACTGTGTGGCACATCCAGACGATGGAATATTATTCTGTGTTAAAAAGGAATGAGCCATGATGCCATGAACAGACATGGAGGAACCTTAAATGCATATTACTAAGTGAAATAAGCCAATCTGAAAGGGCTACATACTGTTTGATTCCAATTACATGACATTCTGGAAAAGGCAAAATTATGCATACAGTAAAAAGATTAGTGGTTTCTAGGAGTTTGGGGTGAGGGAAAGATGAACAGGTTGAGCATGGAGGATTTTTAACGCAGAGGAACTGTTCCATATGATACTATAATGGGTAATACATGTCATTATACATTTGTCAAAACCCAAAGAATGTACAACACCAAGAGGGAACTGTAATGTAAACTATTGCATTGCAGACACTGCTGTGACTGAATATAAACCAGAAAGATTATTTGTACAATAGATAAACATAATAGTTGCTGCCAACAGTGTAATGAAATTTTATGGGAAGAAAATAAAACTCTGGAGAAGGAGAGGGAAAAAGACAAATAAGAGAGTTTCAAGATTTCTAGATGGTTTCTCAAAGAAATAAATCAACATTTTGAATGCTTACAGAGTATCCTAGGATTTAAAAATTGAGCAGAACTGCTTTTCTCAACACCTATCCCAAGTTCAAATCAAATTAATATCTGCCCATAGAAGCTCATTGTCATGCATCTCAACCGTAACACCTTTTACTCCAGAGAGTACTTCAAACCTTTCCCAAACATCTTTCATCCAGGATATCTTGGGAGGCAGCAGTGATTGGCCCAGCTAGAAAAGAAGGAAACAGACTGTCAGAGAAGTGAATTGCCAAAGTTAGTGGCTGATGAGTGACCAGGGGCATTATGCAATCTATTTTATTAAGTGTGTAATGAGGTCCAGGCACAGTGGCTCACACCTATAATTCCAACACTTTGGGGGGCCGAGGCCAGAAGATCACTTGAGGCCGGGAGTTTGAGACCAGTATAGGCAACAAAGTGAGACCTTGTCTATACAAAAAATAAAATAATTAGCAGGCACAGTGGCATGCACCTGTGGTCCCCGCTACCCAGTAGCCTGAGGCAGGAGACTTGCTTGAGCCTGGGAGGTCTAGGCTGAAGGAGCTGTGATCATGCCAGGGCACTCCAGTCTGGGCAACTCAGTGAAACCCTGTCACTAAATAAACAAATAGATAAATAAATAATGTGTGACAGCTTTTACTCCTTCAGTATGAAATATACAAAGAAAATAGGCAAAATTTTCTTTTGGTAATCAGCTTGTAGCATGGCTGACAAGCACTTTTAATAATGCTATAAACAGTAACTAGCACACAGTTAATATCTAGTAATTACTCTGCATTACACATAGGGGACATCTGGATTCTTTTGTTTAATCCTTTCATCTCTATGTAACATATTACTGTGTACCGTGAAGAAACTGAGATTTACACAGGTTAAGAAACCTACCCAAGGTTGCCCAGGTAGTGGTTTCAGAGCTAGGATTGGAACCTAGGCTGCCCCATCCCAGAACCTGGGGCTATTTTACTCTTGCAGTGGGATATATTAAAATGTCTGGACCCTTCTGACCTCATAAGAAATATAGGGAAACTCAACAATGTTGAGTAGGTTGAACCCTGAGAGAAAATAGAGTAAGACTCCAGATGTTCTTGCTATCAGTTCTGAAAAAAAATGGTTTATATAGATCACTAGAAAAATACACCACTGCCTAGCATCGTGAAGCTGCCCTAATCTTTCCCTGAAGTGAAGAATGGCCTGGAAAGAAGGACGCTCTACAATAAAAGAGTTAAAACAAGACACAAGTACAAAGCCACCACCTTCTGGGCAGCCTCCCTCACATTTCCCAGTACATTCCCATGGCAGAAACCAGT